TCAAGGAGTGCAGCAATAGTCCATCTTTGTGCATATTACTGTAACTCTTAGAGGACTGCTTAGACACAATTGACACTTCAAGGTGTCCTTTAATATCACAAATCATGGGATTTTGAGCTCGGTTCCATTTTAAAGTAAATTGCTCTAGTGATAGAGAATACAAACTGCTTTCATAGATACTATACCTACATCAATCACCATGTAGACAGCTCTGGGCCCCTGTTCTTCTGGGCCCATGTAAGCCACATGGCCTACTACTGCTATAGTTATGCTACTGATGCCAACAAGCTGGTTTAATTAAAAGTCATACTAGCTGAACTGAAATATGATTTGAACAGCTTTTAAATGGATCTGTATTCAGACTAAATGCTGTTTTTATATGCTTTTCTGGAATTGGTTCCTCCATGGTACCCAGGGTTCTGGCATCTCTTTTAGTGCTCAAATCATTTCAAAGCTGAGTGTAAATTATCGTAACAAAGGAATTTGCAGTGATAAGATGTTGTTTTCCTGCAGTGTAAACTGCCAAAAGAGAATGCTTGGCAAATGATATAACACGAGAGCTTCTGCCATTGAAAATGATCCGTGGAGTGATTGCAGAGAGATATGTTCTCTTAGAACAAGGACAACCATTATATCAGAAAGGGCACAGGATGCTCCACTCTCTGTGACAACCAATTCAGCCAGATATATGTGATCCGGGAACAAGTGCATTCAGAGTTCACCATCTGCAGGTTTAAAGGCAAATAAGCTGTAGCAGTAAGCCTGGGCTTAAAGTACTATTAAACCCTCCGCATTTTTTAGTTTAACGCATTGATCACTATAAAATAAACATTCCCTGTAAACTACGTGCTAACATTCTTACCCCAGCACTTTTACAGCTGCTGTCTCCTGCTTTCTCAATGCTGCTTCCCTGAACTTCCTGTCCTCACAGGAAAGAATTAGCAGTGGACAGTACAGTCTCCAGCTTGGAGAAGGGGGGGAGAGGAAGGAGGAACAAAGGAGGGGGGGGGCTCCATAGGATGCTGCAAGTGAAAGTAACCAACTTGAACAGGAAATCTAGGGTAGTGGTCCTAGCGCCTGCTTAAACGGGAACATTGGCAAGGATTAAAAGGTAAAGAAATTGCATAGTCTGTACGAGATTAACCACTTGCCTACAGGGCACTTACAGTTGCAAGAAAAAGTATGTGAACCCCTTGGGATTACGTGGAGTTTTGCATGAATTGGGCATAAAATGTGCTCTGAACGTCATCGAAGTCACAACAATAGAAGAACACAGTCTGCTGAACATAATACTACACAAACATTAGATGTTGCCATGGTTTAATTGATGGGCGGCACTGCTGGGCGGCACGGATGGGCTGTACTGATGGGCAGCACTGATGGGCTGCACTGATGGGCAGCACTGATGGGCACAGGTGGATGACACTGCTAAGCACAGGTGGGTGGCACTGATGGGCACAGGTGGGCAGCACTGATGGGCACAGGTGGGTGGCACAGGAGATCATCAGTGCCCTGATGTTCAGTGCCGATCACTTCTCTGACAATTTCCGGTTATCTGCAGTACTTTCCTCATGCTGTGACAGCGTGACAAAGTGCAGCCGATAACCGGCAACTGTATTTACCCGGTGATCTGCTGTGTCATTGGACACAGCTTATCACGTGATAAAAGGCCGCCGTGATTGGCCATTTACCATATGACGTGATCAGTTGTGTCTGTAGGACACAGCGATCACCAGGGGGCGTATTCTGGAATGATGTTCATGGATGTCGTCCCAGAACCAGACAACTGCACTGTAGCCATCCTTTGGCTATAGAGCGGTAGAGAACTGGTTAAAGCAGCTGTTAAAAGTGCTTTAAAGCCCAACGCTGATATAAAACTACTGCTTCTGACTGTTAACCTCAGAAGATTTGGAGTAATATTTAGTGATGTCATTACTGTGCTGCACACTGTTCACCTTGCTGTAGACTGTGACAGAAGGAAGCAAAACCTTGTCTTTACCAAGATGGCAGCCTTCACACAGAGACGTAGTGCAGAATAAGCTGCAGGGAATCTATTAGTAATTCTGATGACTAATTTGCCTTTTTCTGGCAAACATCCAAGGTGGATAATGTTGTTTGTTAATTGATTTTGTCTCAAGACTAACTGGCATTAGCCATCTCTGACCCTTCTTAGCAGCACTCCTCCCATAAGCGTGTGGGGAGGTGCAGCGTGATACGGTTACAGTAAAGACACAGAGTTCAGTTGCATTAAAACTTGAAACTTCTATTAAAGAGGATGTCAAACTACAAACACTGCGGGAACTCATAACTTAGGGTTATCACTCACAGTACAGTTCAAATGCAAGGATGCAGCAGGAAGAGATGCAGCCACAGCTTCTGGTTCAGAGGGAGAAGTCAAGCCCTGGCCAGTTCGGCCCCAAAGGGGATGCTTCCCTGAGAAAACAAATCCCTAGCCTGTCCCTACTCATCAGAAACATTGCCCTGCTGCTAGTCACTTTCCCTGGAAGATGGTGTCTCTCTCCCTACTCTACCCACTTTGCACAAAGCTTGCCAAAACCTAGGGGCAGGGACTAATAAAGACCCTGCTGACCCAAGATGGCCATCAGGGATCACATGTATGCAGCGTAGCGAACTGGGAATGCTTCTCCATAACCTAGGAAACCACAGAGAAACCAGGTTTCCCTCGACTTCCTCTGCACCTGTGGTACCACTTGTGGAGCACCACCTGCAACAGAGAAAGTAGACTTCACCTGTCTACAAGCAGTCCACCCAATCATAATCAGATGTGTATGCACTCTTTTAGATAATGTTGGAGCTGACAGGGGGTACCTTTTTTTTTCCCCTTCAAAGATTGTAGCTGGGACTGATGATTGGCCACTGGGTAACACACTGACTTCTCTCACACTCCATGTTTCTCTCTACCCTTTGCCTTCCTTAACATCTCCATGCCACCTTAGTTTTGACTCCTTTTTGGAGCCCACTACAAACCATATTTGCCATTGATTCACCAACCATCAGGAAAGCCCTCCTGGACCTGGCTGCCCCTGTATGCACCTAAGGGGACGCGTAACCTCCTTACGTATGTTATTTCTTTAGCAAGACATTGGGGGTTATTCACTAAAACTGGAGAGTGCAAAATCTGCTGCAGCTCTGCATATAAACCCATCGGCTCCCATGTTTTATTGCCGAAGCTTAATTGAACAAGCTGAAGTTAGAGGTTGATTGGTTACTATGCACAGCTGCACCAGATTTTGAGATTTTGCACTCTCCAGTTTTAGTAAATAACCCCAATAGCTTGTGGTGGACTCCAAAAGGGTTTCAAAACTAGCATGGCATGGAGATGTTAAGGAAGATAAAGGGTAGAGAGAAGCATGGAGTGTGAGATTAAGTGTGCTACCCAGTTGTCAATAATCACGGCCAAACACAGCCACTGAAGGAGAAGAAAAAGTTACCCCGCATCAGCTCCAACATTATCTATGCAAAGCTGCACCAGATTATGCACGCTCCAGTTTTACTAAACTTCCCCCACAAACTTACCTAGGTAATTGTATTGGGTGCAGCCCTTCCAACCCAAAACTCCATCCATTTGCCCAGGTCATGCAGTACTGAAATTCCATGACTATGTTCAGACTGTACAAACAGTCTAGATATTTTATAATGATATAACTTATAGGAAATACCATAGGCAGGTATAATAACTTATTTTTTTTAAAGGAAAAGTTCACCTTTTAATAAAAAATAATAAATGCACATTTTTTTGCTGGAAAACATTGCACCATCAGATTGCTGGTGCCATGCAGATCTCCTGTAGACCTGTCAGTATATCTACTTGCCTGTACGGGATGTACAAGTAAGCAGATATATTGACAGGAAGATTCAATGAACTACCATGGCGCTCCACAACCATGGTAGTTCATTGAGAACTACAAGCCAACAGCAACCAAGACTATTGGGACTTGTAGTTCGTTCATTCACAGAATACTTGGCAGCGGGCAGCTGCAGCTTAGAGAATATGTTATGTGTTCCACCCTAAAAACAGGTGAAACATGTAACATGTTCCAAAGGTGAACGTAACCTTTATGGCTGGATTTTCACTTTAAAGATATTTATAGTATTTTTATATATATTATTTTTACTATTATTTGCTGATTTAGAGCTATTTTGTGAATAACATAAAAAACCCTATGCTGCAAATAGACCTGAACAGTAGGGAAGATCAGAATACAGGGATTGCCTAGGGCCTCTGAAGTAGGATACCCCTTTTCTCGCTGCCTTCTGGTAATAACGGAAATTTCTGGACTGGTCAGTTACACACTGGCTGCCAACAACTATATTGCCAAAAGTATTGGGACGCCTGCCTTTGCACGCACATGAACTTTAATGGCATCCCAGTCTTAGTCTGGTTCAATACGGAGTTGGCCCACCCTTTACAGCTATAACAGCTTCAACTCTTCTGGGAAGGTTGTCCACAAGATTTAGGAGTGTGTCTATGGGAATGTTTGATCATTCTTCCAGAAGTGCATTTGTGAGGTCAGGCACTGATGTCGGACAAGAAAGCCTGGCTTGCAGTCTCCACTCTAACTCATCCCAAAGGTGTTAAATCGGGTTGAGCTCAGGACTCTGTGCAGGCCAGTCAAGTTCCTCCACCTCAAACTCGCTCATCCATGTCCTTATGGACCTTGCTTTGTGCACTGGTATGCAGTCATGTTGGAACAGGAAGGGGCCATCCCCAAACTGTTCCCACAAAGTTGGGAGCATGAAATTGTCCAAAATGTCTTGGTATGTTGACAACTTAAGAGTTCCCTTCACTGGGACTAAGGGGCCAAGCCCAATCCCTGAAAAACAACCCCACACCATAATCCCCCTTCCATCAAACTTTACACTTGGTACAATGCAGTCAGGCAAGTACCGTTTACTTGACAACCACCAAACCCAGACACATCCATAGGATTGCCAGACAAAGAAGTGTGATTCGTCACTCCAGAGAACATGTCTCCAATGTCCAGTGACGGTGTGCTTTACACCATTGCATCCGACGCTTTGCATTGCAATTGGTGCTGTAAGGCTTGGATGCAGCTGCTTGGCCATGGGAACCCATTCCATGAAACTCTCTATGCACTGTTGTGCTACTCTGAAGGCCACAAAGTTTGGAGGTCTTTAGCTATTGACTCTGCAGACAGTTGGCGATTTCCACGCACTGCGCATCAGCATGCGCTGACCGCGCTCTGTCAATTTACGTGACCTACCACTTCATGGCTGAGTTGCTCCTGTTCCCAGTTGCTTCCACTTTGTTATAATACCCTTAATAGTTGACCGTGGAATATCACGTACCACGCTTTAATTCACTGAGCTCCTGAGAGCGACCCATTCTTTCACAAATGTTTGTAGGTCTTTAGATTGTAAGCTCCACAAGCAGGGCCCTCACATTCCTCCTGTACTGAAATGTATTGTAATTGTACTGTCTCCTTATATTGTAAAGCGCTGCACAAACTGTTGGCGCTATATAAATCCTGTATAATAATAATAATAGAAGCAGTCTGCATGCCTAGGTGCTTGATTTTATACACCTGTGGCCATGGAGGTGAATGGAACACCTGAATCCAATGATTTAGAGGGCTGGTCCAATACTTTTGGCAATATAGTGTATATACAGGTGAAACTCGAAAAATTAGAATATCGTGCAAAAGTTAATTTATTTCAGTAATGCAACTTAAAAGGTGAAACTAATATATGAGATAGACTCATTACATGCAAAGCAAGATAGTTCAAGTCGTGATTTGTAATAATTGTGATGATTATGGCTTATAGCTCATGAAAACCCCAAATCCACAATCTCAGAAAATGAGAATATTGTGAAAAGGTGCAATATTCTCAGCTATTCTAATCAGCTAATTAAGCCATAACACCTGCAAAGGGTTCCTGAGCCTTTAAATGGTCTCTCAGTCTGGTTCAGTAGGAATCACAATCATGGGAAAGACTGCTGACTGCTGACAGAAAACCATCATTGACACCCTCCATAAGGAGGGAAAGCCTCAAAAGGTAATTGCAAAAGAAGTTGGAAGTTCCCAAAGTGCTGTATCAAAGCACATTAATAGAAAGTTATGTGGAAGGGAAAAGTGTGGAAGAAAAAGGTGCACAAGCAGCAGGGATGATCACAGCCTGGAGAAGATTGTCAGAAAAAGGCCATTCAAAAGTGTTGGGGACTTTCACAAGGAGTGGACTGAGCCTGGAGTCAGTGCATCAAGAGCCACCACACACAGACGGATCCTGGACATGGGCTTCAAATGTCGTATTCCTCTTGTCAAGCCGCTCCTGAACAACAAACAACGTCAGAAGCGTCTTACCTGGGCTAAAGAAAAACAGACCTGGTCTGTTGCTCAGTGGTCCAAAGTCCTTTTTTCTGATAAGAGCAACGTCTCATTTGGAAACCAAGGACCCAGAGTATGGAGGAAGAATGGAGAGGCAGAATGGAGAGGCACACACTGCAAGATGCTTGAAGTCCAGTGTGATGTTTCCACAGTCTGTGTTGATTTGGGGAGTCATGTCATCTGCTGGTGTTGGTCCACTGTGCTTCATTAAGTCCAGGGTCAACGCAGCCGTCTACCAGGAGATTTTGGAGCACTTCATGCTTCCTTCCGCAGACGAGCTTTATGGGGATGCTGACTTCATTTTCCAGCAGGACTTAGCACCTGCCCACACTGCCAAAAGCACCAAAACCTGGTTCAATGACCGTGGGATTACTGTGCTTGATTGGCCAGTAAACTCGCCTGACCTGAACCCCATAGAGAATCTATGGGGCATTGCCAAGAGAAAGATGAGAGAGATGAGACCGAACAACAGAAGAGCTGACGGCCGCTATTGAAGCATCCTGGTCTTCCATAACACCTCAGCAGTGCCACAGGCTGATAGCTTCCATGCCACGCCACATTGAGGCAGTAATTGCTGCAAAAGGGGCCCAAACCAAGTACTGAGTACATATGCATGCTTATACTTTTCAGAGGTCCGATATTGTTCTATGTACAATCCTTGTTTTATTGATTGCATGTAATATTCTAATTTTCTAAGATTGTGGATTTGGGGTTTTCATGAGCTGTAAGCCATAATCATCACAATTATGACAAATCACGGCTTGAACTATCTTGCTTTGCATGTAATGAGTCTATCTCATATATTAGTTTCATCTTTTAAGATGCATTATTGAAATAAATGAACTTTTGCACGTTATTCAAATTTTTCGAGTTTCACCTGTATGATTACTGAAAAGAAATGAATTAAATATACAGACAGTGCTGGGCCTTCTCACCAAAAATCACAGCCTTTTGTAGTCTGTATGTAGACTGAATGACATGGATTCACCTTCTATTAAATGTGTATCTGTGAAATTAGGATTTTATACAAAGACTGAAAAAAAAAGATATTACTCATCAGCTGATACATTTGTAGGCTTAAAAAAAAGAAAATAAAATTGACAAAAAACTACTATACCTTTTTTTTTTTTTTTTAAAGCTGCTACATCTCCTAGACATGGACAAGTGAACGTTGATGGAAACAGCGGTCTGCCAGCATAAAGTCACCTCTGTGAATTCCTGCTGAAAGACACCAGTGGCATCTCTTTTCCAGCCCTTGCACACAACACGACGCTTGATGTGTCTTATTTATAGGTCAGCTCAGGGGAGCACGCAAAAGTGCAGAGAGGAGCTGTGCCCTGCGGGGAACTGGCAGGAAGAAGATCGCACCCAGTGGGCTACCTCCTCGCTCGAGAGCATTTCACAGGCCAGCCAGCAACGCTGTATTCAATCAGAAAAACAAAAAGGAAAGCGGTTTTTAATACTCCTGTCCAGGATTGTGCATTTCTATCCAAACAAGAAAAAAGTTCCCTAACATACAGCAGAACCTGTAATGGGAAAGTCAATGGTGTGCTATGGCCTCCTATCAACATATTGCATTCATTATAACCACAAGGTGAGGATTTAGCTTATGGGGCAGGTATACTATTTTTTGTATATATTTTCATTATTTTTGTGTTTTGACAAGACTTAAAGTGGAATTGAAAGAAAAAAAACTATGTATTACAGATTACCGATCCTTATTTGTGGTGGCTGCATTCGTTTTCTTTTTTTTAAGCTTTTTCCTTTATTTTCACCTGGTGATCTGGCTAGTAACATACTTTCTGTCTTAGCCCAGGTTCACACTGAGCCTGGGTTTACACTGATGCCGTACGGAATTCGCAGCAGTTTCTGTGCAAATTCTGCACCGCATCACAATCGCGCTCCGTTCATGCGAACTGCTGCAGGTGTGCATGTTAAGTTAAAAACACCCCGAAATCGGTTTGCAAAGCGCGGTGCGATGTGCAGAATCGGATCGCATAGGTGTGAATACCCATGCGATCTGATTGTATTGCAGAACAAAAAAGGGTCCTGCACCTTTTTGGAGTGGATGCGGTGCTATTTGAGCCATACAAAATGTATGGCTCAAATCGCACCGCACAGAATGTGGTGCGGTTCCTGTGCGAATCACAAATGCGATATGCCACACCGCATCAGTGTACTTAATCCAACTTTGGAATCATGCGACTTCACTTGAAGTCACACGATTTCAAAGCCACAGCTCAGTATGATTTCAGGTGCGACTTGCCTGAGATCTGTGCAACTTCATGCACAGTCGCACCTGAAATCGCAAAAAAATAGTGCAGGAACATTTTTTTCAAATCCACAAAGTCAGAGTCGCACTAATTTGAATGGTCCCATTGCCAACAGTAGGATGCGACTTGTCATGCAATTTGGAACTGTCAAATCACATGACAAATAGCACCGGTGTCAACAGGCTATGTCTCCATTCGGGATGAAGGAACAATGAAGGCAACTTTGGGCAGCAGCATTGTCAGTGTGGGGAGAGGGTAGTTTTAGAATTACTAGCAGAGTTAAATAGATTAACTAATTAGATTAACACATTAAAGTGTTACTAAACCCCGGACCCTGCATTACTATATCTGGTCTCCCACAGTACACACAACATGGAAATGCAATTATTTTAGTAAATATAAACTGCTAAATACATTTTCTCATCAGCAGTTTATAGCAGTCTTGTGACTTCTATCAGTGTTCAGCCGAGCATTGGTTAAAGCTTGTAGGAGGAGTTTTCTTTCTGCTCTAGGAGGATGGAAATCCCTTGACCTCTGTCTGAATAGTGCTGATTGGCCCTGTGCTGATCACATGTGCTCTCCCAAGAAAAAAAAAAAACGTCTCTAGCAATATACACCAAACTAAGCATGTGCAAACGCCTACGGTTCAGTCTGGAGATAATAAGTGAAAAAAATATACGGTATCCTTACAATATACAAAAATTCCCAAAACGCATGCAAACACTTTCACCCCAAAAAGTGTAATAATCTGATCAAAAATTATGCATAAAATACAATCCCACAGTGTCCAAATTATCCAAAATTAGAATAACCCAATCCCAAATTTTAGAAATGTCCTCCAAAATAAATATAGTCACTGAAAATTTTGTCTGGAGAGAAGTGGTGGCCACTTGAAAAAGGGGAGGAACAGAGAAAAAAGGATCTAACAGCCTTTTTTACACAATGCAGAGGATTAACTCCTTAGCTTCCATGGTAAGTATAACAAGCATGCTTTACTCCATATACAGACTGGTTTTACTGTTGTGGGTTTATTAACACTTTAAATTCATTTTTTTTTTTATTTGCTGAAGGATAGGGTTTGAATGACAGAAGAGATCCTATAGGTCTCTTCTGTCATAAAAGCTTCCTTCTGTCTGTCAGCTGTCATGCACATTGAGCCACGCATGTGCTACTCAGTGATGGCATCCACTCTGTGTTTTGATGACATGACACCGGTGCGCATGCCTGGGGGTGTGTCACCATGCCACCTTGGGCACAGTACTGCTGAGCAAAACCGCATTCTTGACTCTGGCAAAAGGAGGAATTACCTGTGACATCAGGGGACTGGCTGGAAGACACTTGGTATCAATGTATGTATACTATTTATTTTTTATGTATGGGCTGCCATCTAGTTTTAGTCCACCACAACTTGTTTACTTACATGATTTGGTATTTCCCTCTGTCCTCCCTCTTGTTTAGTGCTAGTTAGTTCAGTCCTATCTATACCCCTGTTTCTTCCATATTCTTTAAGTACTTCCATGTTCTCTCAGTGTTAGTTATTTGCAGAGACATGGCTCAGGAAAGTCTTCTTCCACTTCAAAAAATCCACTGTACTGCAGTTAGCTTAAGTAAAATTAAGTTGGATTCAACTTCTGTGTGTTATTGGAGAGTTAAGCTGTCTGTGGAGAGTGCCAAGTCAAACTGGAGGTATGTCAATGTATAAATTGATATTTTAAACAGAACAGTATTTGGTATGATAAAATATACATGGTGAAGAGAATAAAGAAGTCTTTTAAATAAATGAAACTGTTCCTACTTATTCATAAAAGCAGGCTGTTAATTATTTAAAGTTCTTCATTAATGAAGGGGAATGCTAAGGGCTGTGTGAAGCCTGGGATCTTCTCTAAAATCAGCAGTGCTGAG